TTAACGTCAGAGATCAAAATTTAAATTTAATGGTAATTTACAGAAGTCCTAATTCAAGTAATGATAATAATGACTATCTCATTGGTGTCTTGAATGAGTTTGGTGATTTGTCTGGTAGACATCTTGTTTTGGGTGATTTTAATTTTCCAGATATAGATTGGAAGCTGAGAGTTTGTGCAGGTTCTGACTACAAGATTGAAAATAGATTTTTGCAGCTTATTGATGATAGGTTTTGGCTGCAGCATGTCAACGAACCAACAAAATATGGAACTAACAGTTGTCCTCATGTTTTGGATTTAATTATCACGTCTGAAGATTGCGTATCAGATTTGCAGTATTCATCTCCTCTGGGCAGAAGTGACCACTTATTGATTTCATTTAAAATTTTTGATTGTTCAATTTTGCACAGTAAACCTAGGAAGAAGTTGTGTTTTAATCTTGGACAACAGGTTTATCTCACAAGGATGCTAGAAAATATTTTTTTTGTAACAGAGTAGTCGCGGACTGGAATAGACTCCCACAATCTGTTGTTGACTCTCCAAATACAAGTGTTTTTAAATCTCGTTTGGATTTGTTTTGGGGTGATGCTAAATTTCAATATAGGTGATACTTTTAAACTGACGGTTCAATTGGATGTGTGTGTTGATAAGTAGGAATGGTTTGAGATTTTTAATCTATTAGTATGATTGAATAAGAATTTTTCATGGATGGATTGGAGTGGATTAATGAGAGAATTACTTATGCAACATTTATAATACTCATTATCATGAGGTTAATGTAATAATTATCATATTGTTATAACCGTGCTACCGAACGCACTAGATTCTAGCGTATTCTAGAATGTTCTAGTGACTGGAACGTTCTAGAGTATGCTGGAATCGGACCATCGGGAAGAATCTAGAAACGACGCTTGCGAAGAGTATATAAGCGCACGTCGCAAGATATTTGGGATTGGTGATATTCGTGATTGGGATATTCGTGATTAGTGATATTCGTGATTAGTGATATTCGTGATTAGTGAAATTCGTGATTTTGTGAATAGCGATTCGGTGAATTATTTAAAGCGATATTTGAATTGTTTGTTGACGTTGTCATAGCGATAGATTTTGAAAGATTTAAAAGTTAATTGTTGCGTTAGTGCGAATTTACTGGAAATAAACGATTAGTTGATTTCTTCTGTAAATAAAGTTTAATAACTAATAATAGTTGATTTCTTCTGTAAATAAAGTTTAATAACTAATAATAGTTGATTTCTTCTGTAAATAAAGTTTAATAACTGTTTGGAGTATTTTATTCAATCGAAGATTTGAACCCGTCGCATCGTAAACCGGTTACGACAGCGAGTATTATAACAATATGGTAAAAATATGAGCATAAATATAGGTAAAAATATGTACTTGTTTTATTTTTTATCAGTAATGACTGGGAATATGTATGATTGACTTGGATTGATTATTTCATTACCCATTTTATGGTTGAATGCATGTGCGTATTTCATTTATAAATTTTTAGGTTAATTATATTTTATATTGACTTCACAACTTTCTTATTATTATTATTGTTTTTCATATGATTGTTTGGTTTTTTTTATTGATTGGTAAATAGTTAATGAAATTTCTAGGTTCTAATATAATTATCTGATATAATAATTAATGATTCATGAGTAGGTGGGTATATGAGTTGGTATATGGGTAGGGAAGGTTAAGGAAATTAGATGGATGCATGAATGTTTGTTTATTTTTTCTATTGCATGGGAAATGTGTAGTTAATTTTATGCTATTCAGGTGTAGGATGGGATTAATGGGGTTAGATGGATAAAGTATTTTATTATATCTTGGTTTATAAGTTTGCATTTATGGTGACACTCAAGACACTGTTAGTGTTAATTTATTGTTTTTGGAAATTATTTTCAATCTGCCACGGTATAATGCATTATCTTCGTGGTTATACTTGTGAAGCAATTGTACGAATGTATCGTGGTATGCATGTATAATACTATGTATTTTTTTTCCTGTAAATTTGGTAATGGGCAATAGCCCGTGCTTTGTTCAAATAAATAAATAAATACTATGTTTATGTATTTCATAAAAAAATGAACAAATAATAATGAAAATTTTTTATGAAATTCACCAATTTCAAAAAATTAACAATTTAAATAACTAACGTTTCGTATTAGATGTCGATGTTGAGAATTTAAATTTCTAAAAAACGAAAAAACCATTGTTATTATTTAAATTTTATTATAAATCATTTGTAAGCAAATAGATTTATTTCGATAAAAATTTTATCATCTTTAGTTCAATTATGTTTATATAGAGTTAGTTTCCGGTGATATTTCTTGAATGATTTTTGTATTATTTAGATTTTTTATGTGTTCCACTACTCTATCACCTAAGATGAGCATGGCTTTTTTTGTTCTGGTAGATCTGAGAAAATTTTTTTTTTTTTATTAATCTACCGATTTCTATTTGTTGAGAATTTTCCCGTTAGGCTTAGACCATAATGTGTTCATTTTGTGTTGTTTCTAGTGTAGGAATTTCATCAATGTTGTCTGTAGATTGACTTAACAAAACTTGGTGATGCGAAGAGGACTCGACATGAGCTTCTCTAGGTAGATATTCCTTCAACATATATACATGGAAAACTTTATTTTGTTGTTTTTATTAACGGCTTAATCTACGTCTGAAATAACTTTTTGTAACTTTAAAAGAACCTTGCCACTTGATAAATAATAGGTTATCTTTATCAGGGAATAAAACTTGATCATATACTTTCAGTTTTTTTAATTTTCTTTTTGGTTTTATCTGCTGTAATTTTGTTGATGTCCCATAGTCTAATCTGTTTAAAACTGATTTACATGCTTTTAAAATTTTCTTTCTGGTTTTAATAACTAGTTCATATGAGGCATGGACATCTAGTTTCATGTTTTGTTTTGATAGAAAATCTCGATACAAAAACATCGGACCTCTGCAATTTGAATGGTAGCACATTTCTAATGGTGAAAAACTTGTTGTCTCATTTGATATTTTTCTGGAGGCAAAAAGTAAATGGGGTAACAACTTGTTCCAATCTCCTAGATATTTTGTGCGACTCTATTCAGCATATTCTTCAGAGTTCCATTGAAACCTGGAAAATATCGTGATCAAGGCATCAGCTAATTTTTAGTTTTGTTACGCTTCAACGGTATAGCTTCTGGAAAACGAGTACACAAATAGATGAGTGTTAAAATGTATCTGTGTCCTTGGTTAGACGATATTGGCTGTGGGCCTATAATGTCTTTTGCAACTTTCAGGAATGGAAGTTCCTAAATTGAAGCTGTTTGGATTGGAGCTAGAATGTAAGGACCTTTTGAGCCATGGATCTGACAAATGTGACATGATTTGTCGTTGTGTTTAACATCTTTTGCGATTTTAGGCCAGTAAAATTCATTCAAAATTCTTTTTAGGGTTTTTCTGCATTTTATTTGACGATCAAAGGGTGTATCATGAGCAAGTTGCATCATTTTTTCCCGATATTTCTGTGGTGCCAGTAGTTGTTTTACTAATCCGGTGTTGAGAATTGTTTCTCTAACGTAGAATCCATCTTCCGGTTTAATGATTATGGCCTTTAGACTTTGTTTAAGATTCTAAATTAATGTTAAAAGGTCGGCGTCATTCAACTGTTCGGTTTTTAAATCGTTCACAGGTAATTTCAATGGTTCTCGGACAATGTTTGTTGTTTGATCTGGTTTTTCAGAATTTTGATGTACCTCATAAACATTCTCTTTATTTTCCTTCACTTTCTTTCTGTTTGGTTCCATCACGTTCTCTTCCTTCAATTTTATTGTTGTTAATTTTCTTTTCAATTTCTAATTTGTTGTCTTTTTGTTCATTTTTATTTTCTTCTTTTTCATCCTCATCTTTGAAATTTTGCAATTACTTTTTTGTCATTTTCATGTCTTCATCTTCTGGTTTTGCTGTCACTTCATTTGTTTAATTGTCATCTTCTTCTTTTTCATCTTTATCTTTAAAATTTTCACAATCAATTTTTTCAATTTTTTTCATCTCTTCATCTTCTGGTTTTACAGTCACTTCTGGTGATGACATTTTAAAATTAGTTTTTCTGCGTTGTGCTCTTGTAATCATCATGGATCTATTTATTTCATGTTTTTTTCCTTTGTTGGAGATCCAGGTTTGAACAGTTTTTACCATCATTGATGTTTCAAATCAGAAGATCAATGCCATCTAGTCGTTTGTCTAAAACTAATGCTTTGTGCCAGCCTGAGAAATAAGGCGTATCAATCTAAATGATTGCAACTTGATGTGTACTGACATTACCTGTAAAATCTTTTACTCCAATATACAAATGTGGTTCTACACAATCTTGATGAACTAGTAGAGTTGTTGTTCCTGAATCTCTTAGAGCTGTGCATCTATGTTCACCAACAAATGCTGTAAATAGTTTTAGTTTGCTATCACCTTGTTGTGTTTCAGCGAAAAACTCTTATTTTGAGATTTAAATTGTTTTGTTATTTTTGTTGCAGCATCATTGTGTTTCTGATCTCGTTGAATATTTTTAGTGTTAAAATGACAATTTTATGTTTTGTGGTTGTTTTTTTTTGCAGATTTTGGTCTTTGCTTAAAAAACAAATTGTTCTGTTACTGGTCTAGACAGTATCTGATTCGGATGAGCAGCTTTATATTGGCGAATCAAATTTGTTAGTGCATCATGGTTTGAGACAACGTTCTTTGATGGTTATTTGAACTTGTTCGTGGTATGCATTGACGATTGAATCAAGAATGACATGTGTTCTTAACCCATCATATGCTTATACCCATTTATCAAAAAACATATAAGTATAAATATATAATTACGATTTTCACAAGTACTTGAGTAAAAGTAATTAAGTACAAACTATTATAATAATAATAAAGTACACACTTAGGTACGTGTTATCACCGATTATACTATTTTTCAAATTGGGTTTCATTGTTTATAACATTTAAATTTCCTCACTGTAGATAGTGCTGTATCATTTTTGAAAAAGTATGCTGCTGAATTGAAGTTGCCTTTGAAAACTTTTGAGGTAAATGATTTTGTATGTTCGGTTTTGTATTTCTTAGTCTGTTAGATGACCAAGAGTTTTATTAAAATTTTTCAAAAATGTAAAAAGATGAATGATTAATAGGATGAGATAGTTTTTTGTGAATTGATGTTTTCATAGTATGTTGAGAGGAAGCCAATTGTCCTTATTACCTGTCCTGGAATGGATACTTCTGCAACGTCCATCATCTTAAATTCTCATATGGATGTTGTACCAGTGTTCAGAGTTAGCCATCATTTTAATAAACAATATTTATTAATTTGTGTTTGTAAATGTTCATAATTTACTGATATTTGGTTTTTTCCTGAATTATTTTGAAGTTTTAAAAATCAATTAAGGAGCATTGGTTATATGATCCATTTGAGGCTGTAATGGATTCAGAAAGAAATATATTTGGACGAGGTACTCAAGATATGAAATCTATTGGCATCCAGTTAGTTCAACACAAAATATTCTTTTTTATAACTCAAATAGCGAATTTCTCTACTGTTCTGCAAGTACAGGATCGATTGAACATGTTTTTGCTTGCGATGAAATCATCATTTAAAACTGAAAATATGGCAAAAACATTTGTGTTTTGTACATTAGTATTATGAAAAATAGGAAAATCAAATCGTTCTGTTGATCTTCTGACACTCGGGATTTTGTTTTAAAAATGCATTGTAAAACCATCAAGATCATATTCATGCGTACGCAGAAATTGTTGTCATCATTATTGCGATATAGCAACCTATTTATTGTTTTCCATAATTTTTTCAAACAATTTTCACCTAGGTATTTAGAAGCGTTAAAGAGATTACTTCGTGATGGCAAGAAATTCAAAAGAACAATTCATCTATTGTTTGTTCCAGGTTTTATATTCAATTTTATTCTTCTTAAATTACATTGAACATCTTGCATTACATAATTAGTGGCGTCATGAGTTGTCTAGCGGAGAGTAATCAATTAATCTGGGTAAAAAATTAAGCTCTTTACTGGGGTAAAAAGAAGAAATCATTTGATTGTTATCGTCTCGTAGTATTGACTTTGTGCTGCCAACGTTCAAAAACTTAAAAAAATAAAAAATAAATATTTTCTCGTCATAAAAATTGAATCTTGAAGTAGACTATCCAAATTTCAGATTAGTATTCAAATTAATGATTAATCGACTATATTTTTATAAACTTCATGCTCTGCACCAAGATGGTGAGACATTGGCAAGCTGTTGAAGGAAACATCACTTAGTTGAAATGTTTTACCGAAAAATTCATGTTGTTTCAAAATCTTCATTTTTTGCAGCTTAAAATGTTAATACTTTAGTCATTTTACTAATCCACGCTTTCATTTTTAAAGAGGTTTAGTCTCATATAAATGAATTTTACAGTTTCTATTTAGCTGCACAAAATAATTTAACAATAATTTGCCTCATTTTCATTGGTTAAAAAAGTTGAACCTAACCTAACTTCAATTCAATATTTAAAAATAACAACAAAAATATAAAATATATCGTCTTTTTTAAATTGGCTCTTATTTTTATTTTTTGTCTTGCTGCTTCAACAAATTTTTTTCATTAGATGAAGAAATTGGAGGCAGAGATGGCATGAAGTTGTTTGTAAAATCAGACGATTTTAAAAAGTTAAATGTTGGATTTGCTTTGGATGAAGGTTATTGTTTATTGTCTGCTTGTTTTTTTTTAATTTTTGTCATTGTTTTTATATCCTTATTTCTATAATTTGAACGAACGTATGGAACTTTTCTATCGTCATATATCAGATAATTTTTATTATCAATAAATTCTTACATAAAAATTAAATATCAACTGGAGAATCGTGTCCAATGCATAACCGAATCTACACAATCATAATTTTACCCACGTTGGAATTTATTTTGAATAGTAGTAGTAGTAGAAGTAGTAGTAGTATTAGTAGCAGTAGTAGTAGCAGTAGTGGTAATGCTGTTCTGAGAGCATGCTGTCAGGCATGCTAACTAGCACATCTGATTCGTTGATTGATTGTTGTTCATCCAATAATCAATACCTGCTTTAAAATTGTTAATTGATTGCGCTTCAACGAGTTCCAAGTATATTGCCACTCTGTTGAATAATTACTTCTCTCTGCCTCTAAATTACGATGCAACCTATGGTCAAATTTCCCAAAAGATTTTTTTTATTTAACCAAGCATTTGATTTGCTTTGTTTGATGCTGTGATGACTTGATTTTTCCATTCTAAGTTATTTCAAAAAATCACTCCAATATCTCTCAGATTCGGATTTAACTTGAAGTATTTCATTTATATACAGTAAACTTTTTTTATTACCTGATCTGTAGTGCATTACAAAACATTTTTTAATATTGAACCGTTGAAGCCAGTCTTGCATCTACATAAATACCTCATTCAAATGAGATTGAAGTTCGACTACATCGTTATCTGACGATATTGCTCTCATGAATCTGGTATCATCTGCAAACAGTTATGTTGTATTTTTCAGATTAGCTGGTGGGTCATTGGTGTAGAGAATGAAGAGTAAACTCTAACTCCTTGCTACCTGTATCTCAATCTGGTTTCAGACATGCTCACATTACTGAAACTTCTTCACTCAAAATACATAACGATATCCTTCTCTCTAGTGATAATAGTAATCTTACTCTTCTTCTTGCTCTTGACTTTTCCTCTGTTTTTGATGCTGTTGATCATACTATTCTCTTGAGGCTGCTAGGTCTTTCTTTTAATATTACTGACTCTTGTCTATCTTGGTTTTCTTATTACTATATAACTACACTGATGATTGCAGTTGATGCCGAAAAAAGCTTTTCTGTAGTAATAACGTTATTAATAATGTTTTGCCAAAAATGTCAAATATTAAAAGTTTTTTATTTAACCTTAATAAACTTCATCAAGATGATAAAAGTCTCGTTAGAAAAATTGAGAAACTCAACTACAAGAATAATAATTCCGAAAACGCAGTGATCTTTATAAATAATTGTGTTTATAATAGTCTAAACCCAAAATCTCTATCCTTTGAATAAAGCTTTTAACTCTGCTGCTCGTCTAGTTGCTCGTGCCCCTTTCTTTTCTCATATATCTGCATATCTTGTTCTCTTGCACTGGCTACCTATAAAATATAGATTAATTTTTTTAAATTTGCACATTTATGTATAAATTTCAATCTAAGTTATTTCTTAAGTGCTTATCAGATATATTATTTGAACTTAAACGCCCCGGTTACGATCGTGTTCTTGTTCTCGCTTCTTTTTAACTCGTGTTAAACACTCTTTTGCTAAATCTGCTTTTGCTTTTTCTGGCCCTTTTCTCTGGACTCTCTACCTACTTCTCCGACTACTTTTCCATCACTTACGAAGTTCAGAGTGGGTCTCAATATCTGTCTGTTTGCAAAATTCATTGAAGAGCGCTGTTGAACATCACGGAAAAAGCGCTTTACAAGCTAATTGATTGATTGATTGAAGATTAGAGGACCAATAACTGAGTCCTGAGGAACACCACTTATAATTTCAACCCAGTCAGAAATAGTTGAACAGTTTTTTGTCTTCTATTTCTAAAAAATGATTCAATCCATTTATATACCAATCCATTTATTCCATAAGCATTTAATTTAGTTAATAATCTCCTGTGTGGAAAAGTATCAAATGCCTTGGAAAAATCATGCAAGACTACATCCACTGAAATAGAATTACCCAAATTATAGGAAATAAAGTCAAGAATTTAAAGTAGATTTGTTGTGCATGATTTGCCCTTAACAAAACCATGTTGTTGTCTTACTATTATGTTCTTCCTTAAAAGATGATCTTTTACACTTTTTCGAATTATATTTTCCATTATTTTACACGGAACTGATGTTAAAGAAACCGGGCGATAATTTGTTGTTTAAGTTTTGTCGCCTTTTTTGTATATTGGGGAAACGTTTGCCGATCTGAACTGAAGTGGAAATTGACTGGTAGCCAAAGAGACCTGGAACATCAAAACAATTGCAACAGCAAACGCCTCTGCGCACTTTTTTAACAATACTAGTTGCGGTTTATCAACACCACAAGATTTGTTTTCATCGAGTTGTCCAAGTTTCTCAAAAACTTATAACTGATACCATCTGGCATCATATTGTTATAACCGCTGAAATGGTCAAATTGGGCTATATTATTTGTTATCTTGATTATTAGTTATCTTTGTTATCTTCGCTATATTTGTAATATTTTGATTGTAAAAATCTATCGAAAATGTTGAATCTACTGAATGACAAACACTTCACGATCGTTGGAAGCTACAACTAGGGTGTTGGAGGTCTTTTGAAGTTATAACATTGGAATTGGTAATAACGAGTGCTCATTGGTGTCAGAAGTAAGATTTTTGATAGCTTGAAATTTCCTGCAGTAAAGAATGCTAGTATTAAAGGAGCTCGATACAACAACTCTGAGGAAGCAACTACAACTTCGTTCATTTTGCTTCTCTCAAAATGTCGAGATCCATGTCGGAAATCGAGAGCAAAATTTAAAGAAAAATTCGATCTGTTTGTAAGTCAAAATGGAAATACTAATTAAATTTATCCTCCTAATTTTAATTTAAAGTTAATTTTTTTCAATTAACTCTAAAATTGCAATTTTAAAAGTGTCTTAAAGATATTCAATAGTCAACTATATGCTGATGATCATTATATTTAAACTTTTTTTCCTCCTTCTAATTTCAAAAGTGTTCTTCATAATTTATCTCTGTCTTTCTTCAATTATCGCTTAGTTTTAATCCTTCTAAGTTTGAATTAATTTGCTTTAATAAATCTAAACGCTCTATTTCTATTCCGTCTATTATGGTATTTTAGAACGAGGTTTTCATTATAACAAATTTGAGTAAATGATTTTGCCCATTAATCTCTTAAAAACACATTATACAACACGTAACTGTTGCAATTCATATTTATTAAAACTCCAAATCCTGGTGTGGCTAACAAAGTTGTATCGACAAAGATGTCATCTTCAGAGCTGATAATTTGAAATTACGGAATATAAATTGAAATAAAGATTTAAAATCATAGAAATTAAGAAAATACAATTGCAATGTACCGAAATTTGAGTAAAAGTGACTACCTTGTAATAACATGTAAACATGATATAAATATGAATAACGAATATAAATAAAATATATATGAAAGAAAATAAAACAAATAAATTAAGAAAATCAAATATTAAAATGCAAATAAAATTGGTGAGTATTGATATGGAACTATAAATAGACTGAAAATTATTGTATTATCTTACCTGATTCTAAAACTCTTGATGTTTCTCACAAGTTTCGTAGTCTAGGTTTTATCTTTGATTCTAGCATGTCACTTCTCAGATTAATAGCGTTGCTAGAGGTTCTTACTTTCATCTACGTAGAATAAAAAACTTTTGCCTTTTCTTGACGATCCTACTTTACAAACTAATTGGTTGATTGATAAGCTGGAATATTTAAAATTTATTAACCATAACATTAATTAATTAATTTATTTATTTATTCATTCATTCATTTTGTTCAGTCTCTTTATTAATTCACCTTTGTTTTTGTTTCGGATATGAACAATTATACAAAATTTCGGCTTAATCAGACAATATTAAGTTATGGAAAAATTGATTACAGAGCTTGTACTATTGATTGAAACAAACACATGCAGTTAATATATAACAGTGGTAAAAGTTGGATGTTTCATAATTTTTAAGGCAAAATGGAATTTTTTATAAGCGGATTAGGGTATGGCACATATGAGTTGTGAAACACTCATCTAAAATAGTATAGTAAGAGTAGGGATTTTCATTGAGCTAGGGCTTACTTTATTGAAACTTTAAAAATATTTCTAAATCTTGTATTACTCACCTAAAACTCTAAAATCAAAAAAAGAGATTCATTATTTTAAGCATCGAGTAGAGAAATGTTAATCCATCTACCTATGGGAGTTCGGTCCACACTTCCATTTTTCATATCGTTTTAAGATGTTAAATTAATTAACCAGTCACCATCGACGACATTGTTGTGCATGTTTTAATGTTTATACAAACATTCATGTATGTGTGTGTGCGCGCGCGTAGGCACATAAATTTTTACAACCATTTTATTTAACTTTTGGTAGGACTACCGAGTGAAACTGATCATTTTAAAGTTTATTATGCAGAAAGGACCATTTGGCGTTAGTTTATTTTCTGTTGAATTTTTGATGCATCAAAAAGCTTTTCATGTTCTTTAGCGACTAATTTTTATTTCTTTTTGGATTCGCAATATTTTTGTTTGTGGGAATTTTTAAAAAATAAGAAATTAAAAATTATAGATTTGCAGTAAATATCTTTGGAATTCAAAAAATATTTCTGTCGCTTTTTAATAGAATACTTCCTGCATGATTTATTGAATGTATCTAATCTAATCAGATTAAACCATGAGAGGATTTCGATTGTTATAAACGCATTAACATTTGATTATAGCGAAAATATTGATTGATTTTAAAAGTTTTAAAAATAGTGTCGGGGTCGGATAAAAAATATCCCGCCTCTTAAAAAATTCCGACTCCCAGATAAATTTTTCAACTTTGGCATCAAAACTTAAATTGAATATCACTAGTATATAGAAAATACTTTAAAAAAATAAAATTAGTCGATGTAATTGTTTTTCTTCGAAAAATTACTCAATATTTCTGTTTGAAAATATTCAGAAAGAAAATTATATGATTTGATTAACGTTGAGCATTAATTTTTAATATTATACTTTATATTAATTTTTATTTTTTGTTTTTATAATTTTTATATAATTTTATTCACATTATAGCAATTATTTTTTAAAAATGATTGCATGCAACAATAACACGTTTTTTGAAAAGCTCTTAAACATCGAAATAATATATAGTATTCAATCAATATCATGTGATGTGTGTGTGTGTGTGTGCGTGTTTGCGTGTTTGCGTGCATGTGTGTAATAAAAACTTTAGTTAGTAAATTTTAGTTCAATGTTTTAATTTCTGGTATTCCAAACTAAACTTGCTTGAATTATTTTGGGCATTTGACTTAATTACAAAAATCTGTTCCCTACCTATTTCACGATAGGTGGCTGATCCTGATAGATCACTTATGATCTTTCTCGGTCATCCTGAATTCTGTTTAATTTAATTTATTTAATAATTTTTCTGGATTCTATAAAATACTGTATTTTATTAATCTATTTATTCATCTGTTTTTATTTATAAACATGTGTATGTACTTGTTTATATTTTTACATTCGCTTTCGTTTTCTTACAGTATAACTAATTTTTACCTTGAAATTTATACATTGAAATACTTATTTCGGTTTAGAAATTGAAGTAACATGCACAGGAAACCCTGGACATGGTTCCATGTTCATTGAAGATTCTGCCGCTGAAAAATTAGTATGTTCCATTAACTTTTTTTCTTATGGAAAAAGTTTATGATGTTTGTTTTATTAGTGAAACGTTGTAAGTTTATGCCAAACTTATATTTATAAGAATAGAATTATTCTTTTGTTTTTCAAATAAAGTATCAATAAAAAAATTTCTAAAAAACATATTTATTCATAAAAACAGAGGTCAATCATAAATTCTTTTTTGGACTTTAGGGAAAAAGAGAAGGAAAGGTTAGCAAAATATTTTTAGATTTTTTTGTGTTTACACGATATTCCTTCTCAATCATTTGATATAATTTATTTATTATTCAACGTTTTATTTTATTTCTTGAATAGTCTGTGAAATAATAAATTTTTGTAGTATAGTCTATACCATTCTGCAATTGTTTCGGAGTTACGCAACGTTAAAATTTTTCCTTCACAATAAGAAAATAATTTCTTTTGAACTTTTTTTTATTTAGTTTGCGTTTTTTCACAAAAATGTTTTTAAATGGTCAGCTTTTTTCTTTTTTTGAGATTGTTATCAAAGATTATATAGTTACAATTTATTTTGTACTAACACTTCATTCAAGTTATGTATATATTGTACATAATATGTATGTATATATATATATAAATTAAAAATATATATATATATATATATATATATATATATATATATATATATATCAATTAATCAATCCTCGTTTATAGTATCCATCCGTTATGGGTCGGACTTTTTTTATTCCATTCATCAGCTTTTGTTTTGAAGCCGATCTATCCATTGCGTCTGTCACCTTGAGACCAAATGTCTTCAAGTCCTCCTGTATGGTCTACGTCCAGGACTTCTTTGGGCTATCTATTGGGCGGGTGCCAGGTACCTGGTGCTCAGTAACGGAAATTATTGTATCGTTTTCGCTTCGCTTCACATGGCCAAACCATCGTAGGTGATGACGACGACATGCATCCTTCAACGTGCACAGCCCCGATCGGTTCAGGATCCTGGTTGTATGGATATGGTCCCTTATGTCAACATGCTGCATCTAACGAATCATCTTCAAGTCAGTTCGGTAAAGCTGCTGTTCGAGTTTTGTTGTCATCAGCCATGTCACTGCACCATACATCAGAACAGAACCTATAGCTGTGTTGTACAGCTCTGAGCGTAGCGGTAGAGGAATGCTACGCTGCATCTGTACCTAGGCAAGGAGGTGCCATCTGCCCCACGCCGCACGTATGCATCTACGAACGGCATAAGCTGTTCCAGAACAGTCCAGCTCATCTCAAAAATACCGAAATGAAGTAACAGTTTCGATTCCGGTATTCACATCATCATCTGGGCCTCGTTGTCGCGAGTTGATGCAGGCGGGGTATACGAAATCAGTCACTTTCCTTAGTGAGCCGGCAATTCTCGAGCATCGTCTGTGACACCAGTGCTTACATCGTAGGTATTTGATCGAGTTGCTCAGCGGTACCACCGGTGATCATAATTTTTGTTTTGTTAAGGTTTACTTTTAGCTCGTGTTCGGCGAGCTGGGTATTCCAGACCTCAAACTTTCTGGTTGCGTCTTGCTCCGAGGCCGCCGTCAGGACGATGTCATTTGCATATATCACATTCCATATGTTATCTGAGCGTATCGGTTTGGTTGTTTTTTTCATCACCCTGATGAAGAGCAGGAGGCTGAGTATTGATCTCTGAGTATTGATCTCTGATGGACTCCGACGTTAATGTCAAATTTATTCGTGTTACCGGCTGTTGTGCTGACTAGAGGTTTTTGTGCTAGAGTACGTTGCCAGAACCAGCCGAACCAGATATTCCGGAACAAGCTGTCTACGTACAATCCACCTGATTGCATCATGAGGCACTCTGTCAAAAGCCTTTTCTAAGTCCACAAATATTATGGTCAACATCTTTTTAAATTTCGCAATACCCAGAGCAGGGTCTCGTAGTCTTTGGGAAGACCGTTCCAGACTCTAGCTTCTAGTTCCAAGTTTCGTTTGAGCCAACGGCACCGACAGATAGTTTAAATCGTCCAAACGCAGGCCGAGGGAAGATGATGCTTTCGACTGACATTTGTTCTTCAAATACTCTGGTGCGGAATTATTCACGCTCTTGAACACTATTGTGCAAACTTTAAAAATTATTCGCTTGTCGACAGTCAACCAATGAAGCTGAGCAAGAATCGGAGATACATGATCAAATTTATACGCACCACGAACAATTTTTGCTGCACGGTTTTGAATAGACTGTAACATTCTAATAGATTTATCGGGTAAACCATAATACATACTGTTGCAGTAGTCCAATCGAGAGTGAATGAACCCATGCATTAAACCTTCAATCGTGTTTTTGTTCAAGGATTTTCTTATAGAACGTATTTTACGTAATTGAGCAGCGCACACTTTAGTTAGTAGTTTGATGTGATCAACAAACGTCAATTTAGAGTCAACGATCATTCCCAGATTAGTGGCATTACTGCTACACTCAATATTATGTCCATCTAGAGTAACAAAATCAATCTTGACTCGCGACAGCTGCTGCCATGGGCCTACTTTCATCAGTTTAGTTTTACCCTGGTTGAGTTTCAGTCGATTTGATAACATCCACACACTCACCACACTCACCTCAGTCAAACAATGCACTAATCTAGTAACAGCATCTTGAAATTTATCGGCAGGACAGCTGACAATCATCTGTATGTCATCTGCGTATGCATGACAAAACACCCCAGATTTATCTATTATTTCTAGTACGTCGGACGTATATAAAAGGAAACAGTATCGGTCCCAAAACCGACCCCTGTGGTACACCAGATGTGACAACCTCTGTTATTGACAACTCATCGTTAAACAAAACCTGCTGTGTTCTTGACGTGAGATAAGAGTTGAACCATGATCGAGCAACACCCGTGACCCCAAAACTGAAGTGGATTCGTTTCAACAGTCTCTCATAGTCGACGCAGTCAAAAGCCGCGCTCATATCTAGGAACGCTAGCAATGAAATATCCTGTGCATCCACAGCCTTGTATAACACCGACGATATCTGCAGCAGAGCAGTTTCCGTTGAGTGGAACTGTCTGTAGCCTGATTGATGAGCAGACAACAAGTTGTTACGCGCCAGATACTTCAACAGCCCCCGAGCACTGATACGTTCGATGACCTTTGAAATAAACGAAAGATTGGTTATTGGTCTATAATTATTTAAATCGCTCACATCCAGATCTGTTTTTTAAGAATAGTTACGACTATGCCATGTTTGGCCATTTTAGGGAATTTTCCTGTACTTAGACATAAATTAATAAGTTTTGTTAAAAATCTGGAAAAGAGAAGTATATGTTTTTTAAGAAAATGTGGTGGGAGACTAAGATACACGTTTTTGTGGGAGATTCACGTATTACCTTCACAACATCATCTTCAGTACATAATGCGAATGACGAAAATGTTTCACCATCCTTGGTTTGCCTGCTTGGAGATAATGGATCAACACTACCTGATGTAGCCTGTCGAACCCTGTTTATTTTATCTCTAAAGAATTGAGAAAAATCATCACTTGTAAATTTCCTGTTGTCATCATCGCAACTGTTGTGAAGGTTTTTGCAAAACATTTTGTTAACGTCATTTCACAATCGCTTTGGATTACCTTTATTTTCGTCCAAACGAGTTTGCCAAAACATAATTTTTTTTCAGTAAAAACACGGTTTTTCATCTTGATAGCATTGACCCATTCTTGTCTGCTACTATTTAATAAAGTTCTCCTGTAACATCTTTCCAATTTTCGACACATACTCTTTAGGTGCCTGCATTCTTCATCAAACCATGGGACATTCAAATCACATCGACTCTCAACCATATGCAATGGTGCAACCTTATTGAAAATTTTACAGACTGTGCTATTGAACAGTTCAAACATCTCATCAACATCCATGCCATCACAGGGTGTGCTTATATATATATATATATATATATATATATATATATATATATATATATATATATATATTATTCTGTCCTGGTTATGACATTAAACTGACCCTCACTGCCTTGTGAGTGATGTTGGATCATCAAAGGCTAGGCCCACCGCTTATAACTGGTTGCGTAAGGAAGGGCGTCCTGCGTAAAAATTAGCCAAATAAATTACTTATGATGACAGAAGTGACAATGGCTCTCAGTATCCGGCAGAATGGCGTCGAGGGGTATTTCGGTTTCATGCCAAACGACAACCCCCGATCTCGGGGAAAATGCCGTCTAAACGTGTGTTGTTGTTGTTGTATATATATATTATTTGGTGAAAATTATTTCAGCGTTAGTTAACTTCCTGTTTAACTTTTTGATTTTTTAACGGTTGATCGTTAATCATTCTCAAGTTTCTTGAGTTCAAAACCAAAATTTTTGTTTATTTTATGGATGATAAAACAAAAAAAACTTTTTCGGTATTCCTATGCCATCTTCGGTGTTCAAATTGATATGTTGTGTATGTTCCCAGATGCTTAATGTATATACTGTGTCTTTACTCTACTTTGTTCAAAGTGAATACTTAACGCTCATTAAATTAGTTTTACAATCTTCACCTGCGTTTAATCTAACATTTTTGCGTGTTTTCATTATCGATGATTCCTCTGTTTCTAAATTTATTTGTAGGAAGAATTCCAATTGCCCGTTGTTGAATATTTATTATCGGATGTCTTTGTTCTATGACTATTGATTCGGCTAGTCGTAAATTATAATGGTTTTTATTGTAATGTAAGATTTCAACATTGTGATCCAAGATTTTTTTAGTAATTTTAGTTTTGTGTTTCTCTTTTATGTGATTCTTTATAGCTTTAGTTTGTACGTGCATCGTGAGTCTTCTCGATAACTTGGTCGTCGTCGTACCAATATATTCAGAATTATAGTGCCCACACTCACCAATGTTACATTTGAACAAATATATTTGATGGCTATGTTCCATTTTCGAATCTGGTTTACTAGTGTAGTTGTTTTTCATCACAAGGGATGACGTTCTTTGTTTGGAGTACCTATATTCGTAGTTTAATACTATCGTTTTCGTTTGTTGCTTGGACGTATTTTTGATGATTCTTTTGATGATGTTTTTCATCCTGTTCTTACAACAATATTGAAATCTTACATTACAATAACAACCATTATAATTCACGATTAGCCGAGTCAACACTCATAGAACAAAGACCTCTGATAATAAATATTCAACTACGTGTAATTGGAATTCTTCCCACTAATAAATTTAGAAACAGAGGATTCATCGGTAATGATGACACGTAAAAGTGTCATATTGCACAAAGTTGAAGATCGTAATAACGATTCAATGCAGACTGGGATAAAAATTTTCGTATAATTATTTAAATCATTATATTTGTTATTTTTAAAATCAGCTTCTTTTATAGCAGCCAAAACTTATTCTTTAGATAGGTAATTTATATATCTTTCTGCCAATAATTGAGGAAACACCAAATCAGACAAAAGTCCGTGAAACCATAGAACTAATGTATATCCATCCGGTTTAAAATTACTATCAGCGATCAAATCTGCCGGCTCCCTCCTTGATGGCGTGAATATTTGCTTCTTGAAATAAAGGAAACAAATAACTATTCATGTCAGTGTAACGAGCTTGCCTGCTTGAGCCATGCTTACTTGAGAGATCGTGATAACCAAGCAGACAAACATTTGCCCCGCACAAGCATGTATATTCGGAAACGATTGGCAACATAAGCCTCAAACCCAAACTCAATCTGATAGACGCAGGGTCTATTCTTGTGCCACAGGCAGTATTTGGTATTGCTCATGCTGAGCCCATTTGGCTTTTTGCCGCCATCAACCTGGCTTTATTCTGTGACGAATCACTGGAAATCTCCATCAAGGAAATTATTTCATTCAGTTGCATTTCTTCTGGAAGCACACATCTATGCTAATTGCATCACCATACATGGAGCGCCAGTCTCAACTGATCTTCGTAAAAATCCTCTACAGGTAACAACATGTTTGAAGGGTTATCGTGGCTGCGGCAGAAGACAAAAAACATGATCATGCCAGATCAGCCACGATGACCAACCCTAATCCACCTATACCGATTGGCAAAGTGGCTTGGTGCCGTCCATTCTCATCGAAAAAATATAAGACTGGAACCCCATATGGAGTTCGCAGTCAACTTGATCTAAAATTTGTTTTGATAGGCTTGGGGAAGTTTTTAAAAAATATGAAAGTTTAGGGATAAACGCTGCTTGAGTTAGTAGAACGAGAGCATCATGTTTGCCGATGTTGGTACTTTTGGGTATGACATACTTGAGGCTTTATCTTTGATTCTAAAATGTCTTTTCTCAAATTAATAGTGTTGCTATAAGTTCATATTTCCTGACTCAGATATCTTTTGGCATCTACCTCTAAAAATAATGGCTTCCAAAAATAGAAGATCAGGTACTTCTGTTTTATTAATTTGGTGTGCCAATGCCACTAACCTCCTTCCAAATAGGTATGGCGCCACCTCAGGAGAGCAGACACTACTCACCTTGACTTCATATAAAGGTAGACGATTCAGATTATGGTACTATTTATATAAACTAACTCTGCGTTTAAACGTAAATAATGTTTTCTTGCAAAATACAATATTAATTGACAAGAAAAATTAATAGTTGAAAGGATAATTATAAAATTATAAGTGGCTATTGCGATCAAAACATCCAACCAACACAGGTACGTAATCAAAACCTACTTGATAATATACTAAACAAAATTGAATTAAAATAATAGTTATAACCATGCACACTTTTCTCGTCAAATATAAAAAAAATAAGACAAATTTAATTAACAACTTTTGTGTAAAAAAATGAAAAAATAATAAACGTTATTAAAAATACTATGACGGAATGCTCCATGAAAACCTATTTACTAATTATTATAGTTAAAATTATGAATGCAGAACTATAAAATTCAGAAAAAAGTTTTGAAAGTTATATTTTGAAAGAATGCAATAACCGATAAATTAATTTAAAACCAATTTGCGAGAAAACCAAATAACCAAAATAATGCAATAACTTTGTATGTGATGTGTGCGTGCTTGTGTGCGTGTGTGTTATAGATATATCATGATACAACCTAATCTATTATAAAATGTTTTTTTCCATTTCATTCTATTTATCAGGCTTTTACTTTTTTAATTATATTTATTCTAAGAAAAGAAAAATGTTGTTTAACCCAAGGAGACGTGACCTCCGTGAACCTTACGATCCTTCAGGTATCACATTATTTAAGATCTTTTTATTTTTAAGCACTTTTTAACTTCACTTTTACGATTTCTTTAATATCAGAAAATTTTCTTGTACTCTTGGATGGTTTAAAAAACTTCAACATACTTTTTAAACCTTCAATCAACAATGAACTAGTTAAATTTGAATAATTATTTTATCCATAAATATCCCAACTTTCCATGCCGGTTATTTTCAAAGAATCTTTAAAACGATGAATTGTGTGGCAGATGAAGACAGGATGTGCTGGTGTGTTCAAAAGGATCACTCAATTTTATTTTCTTGTGTGTAAACTTGCATTTATTATTCAGCATTGGAGTAGATTTATTTAGTTGAAATGTATTTTTCGATCGTTGTAGTTCTTCTTATTGATAAGTTATGGACCGCGTATTATTTGACGAGTCTCGAGATGGCTTTTACAGGACTGCATATTCATGTTTTGTCTATTATTTGCTGAGACGATTTTTTTTACTTTCAGGTTATTTCTTTTTCTTAAGGTTTTACTGTTCTCTTGTCATTGTCGAATATTTGCTTGTACAACTGTTGAAATTACGACGGTTAATTATATTTTGTTAATAATCTTTTAAACTGAAACAACATTGTTCAAATTCAGGGGGGCGTGCAAGTGAACGTTGTCCCTGATAAGTTTGTAGCGTGTTAGTATTTGTTGAAACATCTCATTTTCATTTAAAGTTTTAACTTTTTATGAACAATGTTTTTTTTAACGTTTGTGGCCATGTAGCGTTGGCTGTCTGTAAAAATTGTTAAAATTACAACAGTTAAGCTATATTTTGTGAACAATCTTTTGAACTAAAACAACATTGTTCGAATTCAGAGTGGCGTACCGCGTTATTATACACGAGTCACTTGTTTTTCTTTAATGAATTTAGCGTGTGTGTGAATGCACGGAGCCAAAATAAATTATGTTAATATATATATAAATGGGTATATATAGTGTGATCAGTATTGTTTGGCATGCAGTTACCAACAGTCTTGCGATTGTAAAGTTGAAACCGATATTTAAAGAATGCGAAGAGAAGCTGTTATAATTTTGATATGGGTTTAAAAATGAATTTAATTTTTTGAAACATTAACCACATCTCTAACCCCGTCGTTTTTTAGATTGATATATGGATTTGTTTAGTTTTAATACAAAATTTTTGTAAAAAAAACTGGAGAACCATTAATTAATTGCTATAACTTTTTAGGTTAAAGGGGATATATTGCTTAGAGACACCTACCCCTGAATGTTACCAGCTGTCAACATACAGACATGCGTAAACTTTACTTGTGTGCCTCTTTCAAACTGGAGTTCCAAAACAAATATTTCCCTATGTGTTGTAATTTGTCTGGACTTCTATGTGTTCAGTGCGAGTAACCATCATCAAATCTCATTACTCCTAATAATTTTTGATTTCTGGATATTATGAGTAATGGATTAATTTTTAGATTTGTGAACACCGATTAAAATCAAGATTTCTAATATTTTTCAACTCTACTGCATCCGCATGCTTCCACCTTTCTTTTTCAACCAGTTGCCTATTTTATTAATCCAAATGTAAACTTCAATCAATAATTTGGCTTTGAAATACATCAAGAAACTTGAAGTTGTGTCAATGTTTTTTTAGCGAATGGAGTTAGACCAGGGCCTCTTTCCCTATATTACGTTAATTAGTTGGTGAAGTCTGCCGTCGAATTTGTTTGTTTTTTGAGGTAGAGTGTTGTATGTTTGTCTCTCTGTCATCGTCGTCAGAAGATTAAATGCATCCATCTCCATATTTCTCTTCATCACTTTCATTCGTCACCACTCTACGTACTTGCGATGACGAAAACCTCGACATGACGAAATAATACTTTTAAATCACGACAAATTGGCAGAAAAATATACACAAAATTCCACAATGACAATATATAAAGCACGCTGGGGTCCAATAGACTCAATTGAAATTTTATTATGTACATCGATACTAAAAAATTAAAGTCATAAAAGTTTATAAAAATCAAAAAATATAAAGTTTAAATTAAATTACGTGGTTCCGTGCAGATAAGCACATATCACGTAGCTCTTATAAGTTAAGAGTACGCTCAGAACGTTTTAGCTAAGTTAACTTGTTTTTCAGTATATTTATATAATTGTTATATCGAAATATGCTAACATGATATTGTTGCAGTTTATATTTTTTAATAACTTGAAGGTTTCGATGTGCGAGTACCTCCTTCAGTTGATCTTGAAGAGTTTGAGAGAACCATATCTGCTTGGATCCAGCGAGCAGGAAAAGGCACATCGTTCAGATTGATGCAGGTTTACATGCTGGAGAAAATGAGTATTACTTTTCATGCTCTAACTATCGATTTCTATTCAATGAGACGCATAATAGTGGGGCAATGTCGGTTTGTAATTCGGTAGGACATAATTTAATGAGGCGGGCATTGTCCTTAAGCACATATCTTTTATGAAACTAGAACCAGGTTTAAAGTATTCACATCGTATAAGTTATCATGATTGAGTAATTAATTATAAAAAATTGACAAATAGTTGTTCAAACAACCAAATCATATGATTAGTGAAGCCCCATATAAGACTTCCAATAAATAAATAATGTCCTGGTTATGACATTAAACTGACCCTCACTGCCTTGTGAGTGATGTTGGATCATCAAAGGCTAGGCCCACCGCTTATAACTGTGGTTGCGTAAGGAAGGGCGTCCTGTGTAAAAACTAGCCAAATAATAAATGCTTATGATGATGACGGAAAAAACAATGGCTCTCAGTATCCGGCAGAAGAGGGTGCGAAGAATCTCCGGAGACCCAGTCGATGGGGTTGTGGTGCAAGGCCCTGTGGATGGTCTGGCTACTGGCACCCCACTCTATAGTGTGGCGGTGCAAGGCACTATAGATGGAAGGACTACTTGTAGACCAAGGGGTTGGAGGTTTGGTACCTGGAATGTAGGCACGTTGACAGGAAGAAGTTTGGAAGTGGTGGAGGAGCTGCAGAGGAGAATGGTTGACGTGGCTGCATTACAGGAGGTCAGATGGAAGGGTGAGGGTACAGGGTTTGTGGGGGCTAAAGGTGGAAGATATAAGTTGTGGTGGAAGGGGGATGATGGTACGGGAGGAGTTGGTGTGATGGTAAGAGAAGAGTTGGTGGAGAAGGTGTTGGAAGTGAGGCGGAGAAGCAATGGGGTAATTGTGGTGGTGATGGTGTTTGGAAAAGTAATAGTGAGGGTGATATCAGGATATGCTCCGCAACAAAGTAGGAAGGAAGAGGAGAAGGATAGGTTTTATGATGATGTTTCTGACGAGATTGGGCAAGCGGGGTTGAATGAGTTTGTGGTGTTGTTGGGTGATTTGAATGGTCATGTGGGGGCGGATGCAGACGGATATGAAGGTGTGCATGGGGGATGGGGATATGGTATACGGAATGAGGAAGGGCGTAGAGTGTTGGAGTTAGCGGATGCACACAGCATGGTGGTGGGGAACACTTGGTTCACAAGGGAACCAGCGCGATTGATTACTTATAGGTCAGGGGAAAAAGATCGATGATCGACTATATATTGGTAAGGGCCAAACATAGGAAGTATGTGAAGAATGTGAAGGCGATACCTGGTATGTTGCAGCATAGTATGGTTGTGATGGATGTGACATCAAAAGAAATGGGGAGGAGGAAGAAGGATAAGTTTGTGGCAAAGAGAAAGACATGGAAGTTGCAGGATGCAGAGGTGAGGAAGGCATTTGAAGTGAAGGTGACTGAAAATTGGGAGAGTGGTAAGGATGGAGATGTTTGGGAGAGATACAGGGACTGTGTGTTGGCTACGGCAGATAAAGTATGTGGATGGACGAAAGGAAAGTGTAGGCATGGTGAGACGTGGTGGTGGGATGAAGATATAAGAAGGGTTTTGGAAGTCAAGAAGGAGAGGTTTAGGGTATGGAGAAGGGACATGACGGAGGAAGCGGAGTCTGAGTATAGGAAGGCTAAGAAGGTTGCAAAACAGGCAATGACATGGAATGGAATCTGATGTGAGTTCGAGGAAAATGTTCAAAGTAGCAAAGCAGTCAATGAGGGATAGGAAAGATGTTATAGGGAATGGATGTGTTTGGGATGGATCTGGCAAGTTGTGCATAGATGAGGAGGAAAAAGCTCAGGTGTGGAAAGCTCATATGGAAAGGTTGATGAATGAAGAGAATGAGTGGGATGGAGATGTGGAATCCGTGGTCACACACGGACCTATAGAGAAGGTGACGATGGAGGAAGTAGAGAAAGCAGTTAGAGAAATGAAACTAGGTAAGGCGACAGGGGTTTCGGAAGTGGCGGCTGAACATATTAAAGCGAGTGGGGTGATAGGAATTGAAGTTATGATGAGAATTGCTAACAGTATGTTTGATGATGAAGGTATACCTGAGGATTGGCGACACAGTGTGTTGGTGCCGTTGTATAAGGGCAAAGGAGATGTGAGAGATTGTGGGTCATACAGGGGTGTGAAATTACTAGAGCACGGAATGAAGGTAGTGGAGAGGGTGCTTGAGAGGAGGTTGAGAAGTATGGTGACAGTTAATGAAATGCAGTGTGGGTTTATGCCTGGTAGGGGAACGGTGGATGCGTTGTTCATG